GATAGATAGATAGATAGATAGATAGATAGATAGATAGATAGATAGATAGATAGATAGATAGATAGATAGATACCAGTCTCAGACATTGTATGCTAAACAGAGCTTCTTTCACAATTAAAAACACTACAAATAATAAAAGTCATGTGAACACCATAAAAACATATTTCTCAATAAAAAACATTGCATAATTTACTAATTACATGCAAGAAGTTAAGTTTTTTTTTCTTGGAAGTGTCACTTTAGAACAAACAAATCAGTGGCTGACACATTAAGATCCAGTAATGAGTGTCCTGTTCAATGCAAAGTGCACAGAGACAGCTGCACCACATTCACAGCCAGCAAACAGCCAAACACAACAGGTGGCGACAGAAGACGAGCTTGCTGATATGAACACACACATGCACCTCAGCATCTGCTCATCTATCAAGAGCTAGTTACCATTTTGAACTTACAAATACTAAAGCGAACCACTTTGCTAATTGAATCGTTCGCAGCTCATAATAAATATACAAGCATGGTCTCACCAATAGGAGTGTCCTCTGAGAGGCTGAACAGGGCCAGGTTCCCGTTGTCGCTATACGGTCCATTGTCGTAGAAATAGGGGGCGAAGTCAGCCTGTGCTGAGGACAGAGACATGAATGCACCAGGTGGTGTGTTACTGTGCGTACACCTTCAGACTGAACCAGGGAACAGTTTTTAATAATGCCATGAATTTAACTTTAACAGAGCAAGTCAGGTTTTCACTTCTCTAAGTTGAGAAACTGACTAATGAACACTGTGTAAAATGTTCATACATCTAACACTTTTGTGTCTTTTACCTGGGATTAAAGGTGAGTTACATAAACCTACTAAGTTAACCAATCTAAACATAGAACTCAGGTTTTTGTGATGTCTTAATGAATACTGTAATGCTAAGGCAATTTTAGCCATTTGAACTGTATACAACCCTATAGATTATTCTAAAAGTCAAACTCATTTATCATTGTCAGACTTACAACCACGCCTCCACATTTTCAACTCAGCCACAATGTGAACAAATTGCAAATTAAAACCAATAAAACAACACATATTTATATTTCTCCAACTAGAAGTGCTTATAGTCTAAAATAAACACGCCACTAATCTAATTATATCAACAATACAAAATTATCCTTGAGAAAAACTTACCGAAACAAGCGTTCACAAACACGAAAAGCAGTGAGAAATTTAAAATCTTCTCACTTTTCATCCTCAAGGATAAAATCATTAAACTGCACCATGAAGATGGCTCCGTTGAGAGCTGCGTACAGGAGAAACAGCTCTCAAGGTGTTTTCCTAGGAGAAGGCTAAAAGCAGATGCTTACATGCTAATCCAATGACTCTTAAGAATTACTCCTGACCCCCCTCAGTGCAGCTGGGCTTCATCGAGCAGAAATTCACACATTCTGTACACAAAAGCAAAGATATTCACAACTTTGATGGATAAATGTGTCATTTAGTTTCAATAATAATTAAGTGGCTACAAACTGTCATTCTAATCAAACAGAATTATTCTGTTTTGGAGACTGATAATCAAATAATTACAAATACATGTGTTGGAATATTTTGCTTACATAATATTTTATTATTGGCAACACAAGATTTGAGCTGGAACAATGAGAAATGGCTTCGTTTAAGACAATGCTGTTTAAAAATCACACTCAAAACACAGATTTTTGGACTTTCTTAACCAAGATATGTCAACATTTTCCACTCAGCTGAATTGAGTAAATGTAAAGCAGCTTTCACATTTATTTTTAAAGAAAATGTGAAAGTTGTTTTGCCTTTACTCTGTTCAGTAGAGTAGAATATGTTTGCATAACTTGATTAGGCAAATCCATCTGTTTTTTTAGTGCAACCTGACTGATACTAAAAGTTAAAGACTGTGACAGTATGATGTTGACAATATAGCATGTCGACACAACAAATTTACCCTGTTTTAGAGGTCATTGGTTGACTGGTGTTGATTATTTCTTCCCATGATTTTCACTTTGAGACATTATGTTCCAATTCAATAATTTCAATAACTGCAGAGATGAGGATGGGGTTATCACAGGGTGAGACTTGTATCACATTTAATTATTTATTTTTTATGTTTGGAATTTTTTATATTAAAACAACATTGATTACCTCAAAGTAACATTTAAGCAGATATTTAAACACGAAAATGAGCTTTTCTAGACTCTTTTGAACCATTAGTGAAACAGCAGCTTCCCGTTTTGATCACAAATTGACTTTTTACAAAAACCACACTGGTGGAGCCTGTGAGTTTAACTAAACTAAACTAAACTAAACTAAACTAAACTAAACTAAACTAAACTAAACTAAACTAAACTAAATATTAGGGGTGCAACGATACAGAAAATTCATGATTTGGTTCGGTTCGATACTTTAATCTCACGGTTTGCTATTTTTTTATACAAATAAATGAAATTCCCATGCCC